TGCCCAGCGAACTGCTGCCACAGCTAACAATCCTGGCACCAGTGTTCAAAACTTGAAGCAAGCACTGGATAACAACAATCCACCCACCTGGATTGCCCACACGAAGGAAGCAATCTGCAGAAGGAAGCCCATATCTGCAGAGTAATTTGGCTGACTCCAACAGGGAATTATAAGGCAATGCTAGCATAGAGGTGTGTAATGTGTCCAGACACTTAGGAGATTTCTCCTGCAGACCTTCCCTCACAATCTCCACTGTGACTGCCATTCTGTGCAGCAACTCTTGAACACTTTTACAGGTATCTGGTTGTACTTTTGATTATCAGTGGTAGCACAGCCTGGTCTGCAGACAAGGCAATACAACCTGTATGATTAACAGCCTGCAATTACTCTTCCTCAGAGTTTGTGAGACAGATGTTTCAATCATATAAGCAAAGTTCACCTGCTTGGGATGAAAAAGACCTGACTGTAATTGATATAACAGAAACAGGTATGATTTGCTTAGATTGCCAGCATAAATAATAGGAAAGAAAATCTGCTGCAAGGACACAATAGTCACTAAATCATAATGTCACTCCTAGACCTTGGATATCAATCACAAGCATTGCAATAATGACTGCTGATCTAATTAAGAGAACACAAATACTGTAACATTCTGTACATCATACTGCTAATACCTTATGAATGGCAGGAGTGGAATCACAGAATGATTTGGGTAGGAAAGGACTTTCAAGATCATCTAGTTCCAACCTCTTGTTGCAAAACAGTAGAATATATGTGGAAAAAAAAGTTTGTTGGTTTTTGGCTTTTTTTTTACTATAAGGGTGGTAAGATATTGGAACAGGTTGCCCAGGGTTGTGGTGGCTGCCCTGACCCTGGCAGTGTTCAAAGCCAGGTTGGATGAAGCCTTGAGCAATCTGGTGTGGTGGGAGGTGTCCCTGCCCAGGGCAGGGGTTTTGGACTAGATGATCCGAAAAGTCCACTCCAATCCCTAAATTCTATGATTCTAAGAGCAAGTTTCAAGGACTGGTACGGCAAACAAAAGAGAGTATACCTGGTGGGTCCTTTGTAGGTTTTGAATTTCACTTCACAATAACAGACTCAAAAGATACCTGATTCCTTGTGCCAGAATGCAGAAAGAGAAACACAGACACAAGCCTCAGGTATGTGACTCAGTTTACCACATCAGAAATACACTAGAGGAGTTCTGTGTTCTCTTTTGGCATCACAGTAAACACCTTTGGCTTTGGTGCTCATTTCAGGAATTACTTACAAAATAGCACATCTCAAAATGTACATCCAAAGTAGTGCAAAAATATCTTAGGGACTCCCAATGCAATGCTAATGCTGTACAAGAAAAGATTCTTAACCAAGGTTTATACTCTGTCCTAAGAACAAAACATTAGTGGAAACAACTCAGATGAAAATGGAATTCTTTTTAAGAGAATGAAATGCAAAAAGAAAAAAAAAGATTCAATAAAAATTAACATTCTTAATAAAAATTAGATAACAAACAGCAAATTACTAAGCATTTTACAAAGTGCCAATTTACTGTACACTTGTTCTGGAGTCAGATTCACTCTCCTCAGAGCTCCACACGAGCAGCAGGTCAACTCTCATCAAGCATATGGGCTCAGAGGATTCAGCTTAGTAAGAGAATCAGTCCTGACATGTGTGGAATACAAATACAACTTCAAAGGAATTGATGGGTAAGACATGTGACAATATTGGTAAAAACAATTTCCAGGAAGGGTAATAGTGAACAATAATCAATTTCCTAGTGGTTTGCCTTGACTAGCAGAATGTTTGGGCCCCTGCACGAAGCTAAAGGATAAACCAAACAGGAACTACCAGCTAAGAGGGACACAGTTACGAATGGATGGTTTGTATCGCTAACATCAGGATATTAGGTACATTTCAGATGGCCCCATTTTCTTTCCAGATAAGGTAAAAAAAACCCTAAAAAAACCCTCATTAATGATTTACAGTAACTTCTATATTGCCTTCCCCAGGGTAACAGATGCATTTCAGAGTTTTTCAACAAAAAACTGAAATTTACTTTTCTTTCTGCATCCTTAAAAAGCATACTTGACTATGTTACATTTGTAGCTGAGAAAGATCCACTTTCAGTAAGAAAATGCAAACAAGTAGAGTTATTTAGGCATCAATAAATATTTCTAGACTTTAATTCATAGAATCATAGAATCAACCGGGTTGGAAAAGAACTCCAAGATCATCAAGTCCAACCCTACCATGGTTACTAGACTATGGCACTAAGAGCCACATCCACTCTCATCTTGAAAACCACCAGGGATGGTGAATCCATAGTCCATTCCAATGCCTGACTACTATCTCCATAAAAAATCTCTTCCTAATATCCAACCTAACTGGCCGACCTTGAGTCTGTGCCCTCTTGTCCTCCTGCTGGTTGCCTGGGAGAAGAGACCAACCCCCACCTGACTCCAACCTCCTGTCAGGGAGTTGTAGAGGGTGAGAAGGTCTCCCCTGAGCCTCCTCTTCTCCAGGCTAAACAACCTCAGCTCCCTCAGTGCCTCCTCATAGCACTTGTGCTCCAGTCCCTTCACCAGCCTCATTGCTCTTCTCTGGACCTGCTCCAGCACCTCAATATCCCCCCTGAACTGAGGGGCCCAGAACTGTACACAGGATTCAAGGTGTGGCCTCACCAGTGCCGAGTCCAGGGCAAGAATCACTTCCCTGGTCTTGTTAATCATGCTGTTCCTGACTCAGACCAGGATGCCATTGGCCTTCTTGGCCGCCTGAGCACACTGCTGGCTCATGTTCAGCTTTCCATCTATCCAAACTCCCAGGTCCCTTTCTGCCTGGTGCTCTCCAGCCACTCTGTCCCCAGCATGGAGCAGTGCATGGGATTGGTATGGCCAAAGTGCAGGGCCAGACACTGAATAATGGAAATCCTAGTACAAACTGATTATTTTAGCTCAACACAGTAGCAGTCTAAGCTACCTTTAAATTTAAAGATTTTTCAACTCTTTAGTGAGTAAAGTTCTGATCAAAAGCTGTGATAGATCACCCCTTTACAATAGCTCTGCTTAAATAAATTAGTTCCTCTCCTTAAATTGCCTTAACTGGGGGTAAGGCTTTATAAACAACACAAATGGACATCATTTTTCTGTGAACTTTGTTCTACTGATCCATCAAAAGGAACTAATCTGCACTGTGCTGAAAACACACAGAGAAACAAATTATCCATGATAAATCAATGTTTGAGTTCTAAACAACAGAAGGGATTAAAAGGATTATAGAAAAGATTAATCCTTAACATGAGTCATTTCAAAAGAGTGAACTCATCAGCCACTCAAGTACTTTCTACTCAACCTGTAAAATATATAAGGTGAGCAAAAATGGAGAGCATCTCAATCGACAACTGGAAAAGCTTAACTAAAAATCTGAAAACTGCTGAACTTCTATGCAAGCGTCAAATAACTCAGAATGTGCATCTCATCCCACATGTTAATTCTCTCCCTCTGTCTCTTTTCTCAAGGTTTTCTAATCTCAGTTTCGAAATCTCCGCAAGAGGTAGAAGATGAAGATGTGTTGCTAACCACATTGAATCTAGAAAAAAGTCTTCGAAATGGAGATAAAGCTATGAACAGAGGAGCTATACCTTTGCTGAAGCATTACAAGACTGAAGGCAGCAATGTTTTCAGTGAAGAGGGTGGAAACATGAAGTTTTTGGTGAGTCCAGTTTTGCATTTTGGCTTAATTGTAAAATGGAAATTTATTTATACCTCTTGAGAAAACAAATACAACAGTTCAAATCTGGTAAATATACAAAAAATTCAGTTTAACATACTGTCATCAAGCACAAATTTTCCACTGTAAAAGTATCTAATGCCAAGATTTTAAATGCAGAACTTGGACAGTTGAATTAAATCTAATTTTTACACAACTATATGTAGCCAAAACTTGCGGAGAACAAAAAAAAAAAAGCAAAAAAAAAAGCATGTCCCTACATGCAGCAACAGGTTTTTGACTTCACCAAACATGAGTCTTATTATCTCATCACATTCTTTACCATGAAACCATTTCAGCCAAAAAGTAACACAGGTCATTCATTTTTACATTTTATCTTAAAACATAAAACAGTTGGTATAGAGATAAACCACTACTCTTGTTTTCCCTCAAAACAGGACACAGGTTCCAGACAGGATTTCTTAAATCATGTTATGCCAATCAATTTAGTTAGAAAACAACTGCCTTATCTGGCACTGAAGGGAGCCATGGCTTTTCCAGCTGACACCGAGATCCGAAATATTGAGTCAATACAGGAAAGAGAGACTACAGATGAAGAAAATTCAGCTAAATTCCCTATAGGAAGAAGAGATTTTGACAGTAAATATATTTTATTTTTATGCAAAAAAAGGTCTTTCCTTGTGGCAAGGTACAGTGCAATGTTGATATCGCAATTTGATAACTGTTCATTCAGAAACTCCATGTCAATCAGGATTTGTACATAGGGGAGGGAGAGTTTGTTAAATTAATACTTCCAGAGGCCATGAGAATTTTAGTTCTTTGATGATTTAAACTTTCAGTTGATTTTTTTTTCCCTGCAGTCCTCAGGTGTATGCTGGGAAGAGTCTATCGACCTTGTTGGCAAGCGTGAAAACTACTGAGCTGCACCACCTTCTTCTCAGAGATGAAACATTTTGTTATGTTTGTTTGAAGTTACTGTGTTTTAGTGTGGCTATACATGTGTATCCAAAACTAATTTTCCATCACATGGTAGAGGGTACATAATTCATCACCGAACAGAACATAGCTGTAATTGCTCACACTGTGTTGCTGTCAGAAAAATAAAAGACTTCAGCATCATCTAGACTTGTAAGCAGCTGCTTAATATTATACACAAGGTACTTTCAGTTATTTGGGTATGAAAGGAAGCAATTAATGATTTTCACCTTTCTCTTGCAAAATTTTACAACTCCTGTCCAAAGCAACATAACACCTGTGTCAAAACAAAAAACTCACAGTCGAAAAAAGTGAGTTAATTTTGCCTGACCTGCAATCAACTTATTCTTACTTGCAGTTTTGCTCTGTTTTCTTTTTCCACCAGTTTTGCTGTCCAGTTCCTTATAAGAGTTCTTTGAAGTCTTAAGCCTTTTAGCATTTTTTTGCAAAGATGGTTCACTTTCCTTGTCACAGATTACTTTGTCATTATTCAAATCCATCTGTTCATTCCTGGAGTTCTTGTTCCTTGGCTGACAACTCAGCTCTCCCATTTCTGTACAACTTCTAGTCTGGTGAACACTTTCAGAAATAGTTCCAAGCACTGGTACATCGAGACATGAAATTGTACCTTCTGTCATGGAAGTATATCAAAAACATATGTGAAGAAATAAAAAGTTACCTGGGATTATTCATCCTTTTTCTAGCAGCACTGCCAAGTTCTTTTTTAAAACCAAAACTAGTGTTGTGTCAACAGAACAAAGCTCTGCTGGTCACTGCAGTTACGTTTGTTGTGTGTTCATAAGGGTATTGCCAATTTAAAATGACATTGCTCAAAACCATAGCAACTAACTTAGGAAAGTAGATTTATAAGATATTGGAGGAGGGTGAAGAAATTTTATATATGATAAAGTCTGTAGTGGAGTAAAACAAATTTTCCCTCCTTTTAATGGAAAAAAAATACAATTTCACTTGGCTTACTTTTGTAAAGTAAGAAGAAACATTATGTTATGTATGTAAAATGTCTCAATTTTTAACCTCAACATATTTTTTTCAAATATTTATATTCCCAAAGCATTACAATTTTAATAGAAAGATATTTAACTGATCATAACACACACAGAACAATGCAGCATTTCTATTTTTCTCTCGAAAACACATTTATACTTGAGTTCTCCTAAAGACCCTTTGGATAACATCTGAAGCACTAACTGTCACATTTAATTCCTCAGTCCCACTGCAGCTTACCTGTGCCATGTCCAGCTTTTAAGTGTTGCTTTGGTGCAGGAGGTTTGCAGGTCAGAATTTTGAGGGAATGCTGACCGTGCATTTCCCTCAACTCATTCTTATATGTACATGCAAACTGAGATTTGATTGAAGATTGCTTCATCTGCAAACAGTAATCTGCCATTAGCTCTCAGTATTTACACTAGTGCAAGACAACACCTGCAAGACTAGTAAAATAAGCTTTCCCATTCCTCTGTCTTGAAAGCTTTTGAATCAAAAAAACTGCCAGAAAAAAATGAGTATGCTCACATCAAAACTAATTAGTCATTTCAAAGTGTAAAGGCTTTCAAGAATACTCATAAATTATTCTATTCAAGGCCCTAAAAAAATTCAAAACTGTTTTCATACACATAAGCTAACAGACTTGAGCTCATCACTGATACATGACATCATTATCTCTTCATGATGTTGCTGTTGGCCAGGTGAGCACAGAGAGTTTATTTGGGAAAACATAGAACCATAGAATTTAAGGTTTGGAATGGACCTTACAGATCAGCTAGTCCCAACCCCCTGCCATGGGCAGGGACACCACCTCACTAGATCAGGTTGCTCAAGGCTTCATCCAGCCTGGCCTTGAACA